TAGCACTGTAGAGACACCACTGGAGATGAAGAAGGAAAAAAAAAGTGACAAGTTTGTCAAAACTAGTGCAGTTAAAATATGCTTAAACCAGCCTGCATGAACAAGAAGCCTTTTCTACTCCACCCATAGACAAAAAACTGTCAAGAGGGCAAAAATCCACCCCCTCCCCCCAATCTAGGCCTCCATAGCTTGCTTTTTGCTTTCTGTTTTTCTGAACACATAATAGAGTTTTAAACTCTACTACCCCTTTCCTTGCACGTTAAGAGCTTGCACTGCCTCTTCCCTACCCCCTAGTGAGATAAATGACCTGCTCTGTAACTCACACTGTGTCCTTCTCTCTCCCTCTCCTTAACCTTTCCCATCCCGCTTCAACTCCTGGCCATACAGAGAATGAACAGCCTTCCCTCGTTTGGTTTGACAGAGGAAAGTTTTATTTGACTTTTGAAGGTAAGTAGTACATAGCATACCAGATTATAACTTATTGCCCCTTTTGCTCCTGTTTTTTAAATCCTATGGTTTCTTTTAAAAGATCCATTCTAACTTTCTGTATGAAAATGCTATGGCTACTTAGATAACATCACAAGTTCAACCAGAATCATTTTAAATTTGATTTATCCATTTGTCTCCCTTCAATTATTATAGTCTTTTTTTTTAAAAAGGACAAAAAAGTTTTGTGCAAAGCTGTGGTTAAAACAAAAAATTAGACTGTTCTACACAAAATTACTTTTCTTGCCAAGGAACTTGACTCTGTCAACCAGGGCTTTTTTCTACACTCTTTTGCAAGCCACTTGTTACACTAAATGTACTGTTATGCAATACAATTACTGAAAACTAAAACAGAGTTTTGTCTTCTATTAGCCTTTACCCTCTCATGGTGGTTTAACTAGTATTAACATGCCGCCCTCTTTTAGACTGCCTTGAAAACCGACTGCATGCAGCAAATGGGGCATTGTAAAGTAATGTGAAAATAACACATGGTTTTAGAGGTTGGCATTCATCACTTTGTAAAAAAATAGAAAAATGTGAGGAAATATGTTACCCCGCTGCTTCTGTTGTACTAACACAGCTTGTAAAAATAATTAACATCTGCATAATCCAGTGTTGTATTTAATTAATTTTCAGTCAGGCTATGGAAATGAGCTTTTCTTTTGAATCAGAGAGCTGTCCATTTACACTGTTCATTTTGAATGATAAATAATCATGACCAATGTTTGCCTTCTGTGTGCAAGAGAAAAAGTTACTGGTCTGGATGTTTTCAGTGAATCTATTGTTACTTGGAGTTGTCAGGTGGATAGCACTGGAGACAGAAGTCTTCTCTGAATCCAGCGAATAAAGTAGAAAGAAATAGTGCAAGCCTTGCCTACCCAACAGCAAGCCTCTGTCTTTGCTTAGGGGCATGAATTTTAAGAAGTGAAAGGGTAACTGAGTCTCTCTGCCCGTTCAACTCTTAGCCTGCCATTAGAGAGCAAATTATCAAATGATGCCGTCAAATGGGATAGTGGCTTTGTAACATGGATACTTGTATAATAGTGGCTAGACTGAGACCCACAGGCATCAGATGTGCTGTGGTAACTGTAAGATGCTACCAGTCAGTTAGCTATTGTGTAAAGCTCATTTGAATAGTTGCGAGTCATTTTCCTACTATCTAGTTTATCAGCTTTTTGGGATATTTAAAACTATCAGCAGAACTTTGAACTTATGAAAATCATCTCCTGTTTACGCATCAGTAAAGTTTTCTAGATCAACGCACCTTAAGAGGGCAAAATAACTATACTACAAGTGTCCGAGTCTATTTACTTACTTGCATAGTGGCAGACTTACTGGTTTTTAATTGTAACAACATGATGCTTATGGCACAGTGTTTAGAGAAGTATGTAGGAGATTATTTTCATCCATTTCTTTTCAAGCCAGAAAACAAACCACGATGATTGGTGAGGAGGGAAGAAAGCTGTTTAGCAAAGTATGGCAAGCTTTTTGAAACTGCTAGGGGGCAAAGGAAGAAACATTCATAACAATTCTCCGCAGCATTTGGGAGATGAAATAATCTGCCCACAATATTATAGGGCTGACATAATCTAGCCTGAAGTGAGATCCAGTTCATGAGTTCTAAGGAAAAAAAAAGGCTGATATGCCCACAGGGAAGATAATTTTGCGTTTGAGCCAATGAGATTGTCAAAGCAGATTTAAACCTAGAAATATCATTCAAGCTGTCTCTTTCAGTCCTTCTAAAAGTCCATTGGAAATGCCCAAGGTTCAACTCCTCAAACATCATTATGGATCTTTTTTTTTTTCCTCACTAGTCTTCATCAAATCAGTGGATAAGTTGAGTTGGGGGACAAGGTGACTTAATCTACAATGGTTCCAAGTCCTTTAATAAAAAGCTGGAGAAGTGTCTAATTTTCTTTCTTAGAAGAAAACCTTTTAAAAAGAGAAGATAGAGATACTAGAGGTGTTTTCTGCTTGCTTGTGATCTGTTCTAGTTCCTGTTAACCACTTCTTTGGATGCCGTTCTCTTGCATTTCATCATCACCATATGCTGTTTGGAGGGGCAGGAAGGCAATATGGGAACCAGTTCCTTTTTTCTTGTTTGCTTTGCTTGATTTTTTCCTCTGCGTCACAGCCATAAAGCAGCCTTTCTTTTCCTGTCAACATTTAGCAAAGGTTCCCCATATAGGAAAGTGTTTTGCTTGTATCTATAATATTTTAGCTTTCTTCTGCATGTGGCAATTTTACTGTGCATAGGAAACATAAAAATCTGCTTTCATTGTTCAGCGTTTAGATTGTTGCATGCCTCAGATGGTTTTGGCATTTGAATTATAGCTGCCAATAAGTTTGAGTTTCTAATATCTTGAAAAATCAGCTGTGAAGTAAAGTGCCCACATTTTCATTTGCCTACCAAGTGTTGTTTTCCATAGGATTCATTTAATTAATTTGTTGCCAGCAGAGTCTAGATGGTTCTGAAACAAGTGGATGTCTTGGAACAGAGTGTATTCAAATATGGTTCATCTTTATTCTCCTGGCTACTTGGTTGCAATTATCAGTTTAATATCTGATAGGTCCTAAGGGGCAGTAATTGAACTGCTCTTCTCTATCTCCTAATAACTACTTTACCTAGCACATATATGCATTCTGCTACTGTGGCCTGTAATATAACTTCCATTAAAATAAAAGGGAGAGAACTTTTCATTACCTCTTTCAAGAAGGCACTTCATTTATAAACCTACTTGATTCATATATATGAATAAAGATATACTTTAACATCTAATTTCTCCTTACTAGTACTACTACTATTACTGCTACATCTTCAACATACAGTCTTGTAGTAAACATCAATTTATCTGTATCTTGATACTGTCAGGAAGAACAAATGAATCCTGTACAGGATTCCTTATGGCTAGGGATCTACTCAGTTTGCAATTTTCACAGAAACCATGAAAAAGGTGGTGTCGACAACCGCCATGAAAACTGGTGATCCCTGCAAATTTGCGCAGAGTTGTCAGGGAAAAAAAAACTTATTAAAAATGAAATGCTGGCTCCCCAGTGGGAGCCGGTGGCTGCGGTAGCTTAGCTTCACAGCCCATTGGTGTGGGGGAGGGCAGGGGAAAGCCATCAGCACAAAGGGGAGCAGCCAACATGGTAGCTGCCCTCTTCTCCCTCCACTGCTGATTGGCCAAGACTTTTGTGTGGCCTTGCCCCTCTCTACCATTCAGAAGTAAGGGGCAGAGCTGTATGAAAGGCAGCACTCAGAGCCAATCAGTGGTGAGGGGCAGGGCCACCAGGGCCTCTCAGTTAATCAGCAGTGGAAGGGCCAAAACGATTGCAAAAATGTTTCTGGGAGCTGCGAGCAGCCCATGGTTTTTTACTTTGCCTCTGTGCACTTTAAGTAGATCCCCCACCATGATAAACTTCAAAGGCTCATTTGGCATCCAGATTTTTCATATGGGGAGAAATTCTGTTATCTAGATTTTCTGCTTGTTTGCTCTGCTTGGGAACAAAAAGCCAAAATTGTGAACTTTTTCTATTAAACAAATTAATTGTTTTGTCTGAATTTCTATATAAAGTTATAAATTATATGATGTAATAAAAGTAATATTTAACATAAAATGTAATGAATCAAAATATTTTGACATTCTGTCAAATGTTTAGCTGCTTTAATCTCACTTCAGTTTCCATTTGTTATTAGATTGTATTTCACTATAAATGTGTAAGAGTGATATTTTATGTTTTTATTTGGTAGCATGCACTCACTAGCATGTGCTATCACAGGTAGATAGTTTGGTAGATTTGTTGTTAAATGTTTCATGAATGTTTCCAGTGGATCAGTCCAGAGTAGTAAAGCCAAGTGTTTTTTTGGTAAATTTATCTTCTGGCCATTGATTTGTAGCAATTTTCCTACTCTAGGAAGCTATTCTGTATAAGCATAGGCATGGCCAAAATGGCTCAGGGAGGACTTTTCTTGCCGTTTTTTGTGATAAAGCAGTTATACTCTGAAAATATCACAGAGTTATACTGTGATAAAGCAGCCTGCTTTTCTGAAGAATGACCTCAATGTTTCTAATTATTTATTTAGTCCCATTAGTTTATTCCCCTGCCTAATTTATTTCACCCTGCAATATTGCAACAATTTTTATAATCTGATTTGTGTGGTATTTTTAAATTAACATTCCAATATGAATAATATTTTAACTCAAAGATATTTAATGAAAAAACAAATGTGAGTAAAGTTATTGCTGTCACACACGAACACTATACATATGGTTCAGTGTAACCTAATACTTGGTTTATACAGCCCACATCCTCTAATACACATTGGAGTAAATTATGTGCTTTAGCAATAGTAGATTGTATGCTTTCTCATTTTCTCACCATACAAAGCAGCTGAGTTGCCAATTAGATGGAAAGTGTAGGCATGTATAACTGTTGAGAAGAAATCCAAAATTATCTTCTGGCAATGATTTACACAGGTTATTCCTGAGGTCAAATTATTAATAGAATAGAAAAAAGGAATATATATTTAACATATTGTTATATCTTTGGTTGTTCAAAAGAAAATATGTAGAGGAGGTTATCCATCTTGCATTAGTATTAAGCCAGCTTCTAGCTTCCCAGTGGGAAGACTATCACAAAATTGTTTCTTCTAAAGTGCTGGCCATTTCTGGAGACATGATATTAGACTATGAACCAACTAATTTCTCCAAGTTTGAGAGGAAAGCTGTTCACAAATCCCCCCCCCCTTTTTTTTTGTTTAGTCATGTTTTGAGATACAAGAAAGTAACATGGCTTCAAAAATGAATTGTTACTAACATTCATTAAAATGGATGAGTAACTCCTACATTAACATGACTCGCATAAGTGTTCTAGATCATTTCTTTTGGAGATAATGGATCCGCCTTGGTAAATGCATTGGAAGTATGACTCAAGATCCACACATTCAGGTGCATGACAGA